GCCGCAGTAAACGGTCCATTCACGCACGCTTCATGCAAAAAGAGTCGGAATGCTTAATTATCAATCCAGGTCATGTTGATTTTGCTGAAGTTTTGATATTGCTTTCTGCCAGCAATGTTAGTGGTTTTTTGTAGACAAGAGATTATCGTTTTTCGACGTAACACAACAAGACTACGTATCAGATTGCCCAGATCGGAAATTTCAGACAGTTTTGCTGAATTGTAACAACGATACAGGCGATCTGACCGGTGGCAGTGACTACGTCTATGGGCTTTTCAACTAGAGTGAATACCATTGTACCTATCTCTGGGTTGCTACGCTACGTTGGGAATGCAGTTTAATCCGTTCACGCTAGTTCTGTAATTCAGCCATTTGTTTGTTTCGGCGTATTAATTCAGTTTCAAGTATGATTGACTCTGTTTTCAAAGTTCTTTCATTCCATCCGCATCAGTTGTTTGTTCATGCATATTGGTAAATGATTTGATTGCGTTGATTGTGTCGTCCTGTTGCACTGTTTGTTTTTTATTCTTTGAACGTTCGTTATTCCCATATTCGAATGACCACGCTACGTGATGCGATTAGTATTGATAATGTACGTCGGGGCTCTATCAGAGAGACCATTGTACCCAGTTTTAACGGTTACTTACCTGTGACCACAAATCTAATGATAATGGTGTTTAATATTAAGGAATTTCGTGTATTTAACTCAGCTTACGCCTATAAGTAGACATTGAACCGTCATAACAGACGAGGGGAAGGACGGAATTGTAATTAAGCAAGTATGGCTTACAGCCAGAGCATCTATTCTTTACGAAGTAACTATCGATACTTCATGCTTCGGCCAATCATTGTGTTTTTCTCATTATCAGTAAGCAATACTCGTGGAAGCAAGTAGTCATTAAGTGAACATATAAAAAGTACTAAAATTTTTAAAAAATCAAAAATTGATCCAAGTCAAAAATTTTTTGTAAATAATAAAAAATTCTTATTAACTCAACGGCTCAGCCTATTGTAGTATTTTATTCATTTTATTGATATACATATATGTTACGATGATATATATATATATACTATATTATTAAACCTATATTGATTATACATATATCTCTGACTGATCTATATAGAAAACGTCAGAGACCTCCAAAATTTTATCTACACAGCTACAGCATTACGTGACTTTTGAACCGTAAGTCAAAAGCAGCGAAGCAACAGAGGTTGCTGACTTTAAGGTAATATAATACTTATACCCTTACTCACTCTGGAGAAAGAGTAAGAAAGGCATTGAGGGGTGGGAAGGATTTGGCGTGATGAAAAATAAATAATTAAATTCTCTTCGGCGGAAATTGATGAAAGCCTCTCGCTTCGGCTCCTTGAAATATTCAACTTTAGCCGTGAAGGATCAATTCAAGTGAACGATTTTCTCCTGGCGATAAGCAATTTCTTTTTTATTTCACTCCCTTTACTCTCTCTCTCTCTCTCTCTCTCTCTCTCTCTCTTTCATTCTTTCTTTCTTTCTCTCCCAGGACACGTATATACTATATCGGAATATCAGGAGTATAGGTGAAGCTCAATAACAGAGAAAACGATCGAACGACAGTAATGCTTTTTTCTGTATAACTTTCAATGAAATTTTTACTCCTTTCTCTATTTTATTCTCATGTCCGACCTAGAGAATATTTACCCTACTTTTTTCTATAGGATTTTTCTTTTTGTCCCCGTAGGAATAAACTTCCATATTATCTTGCAAAAAATTCTAAATGGAACAAAGGATCCAGCGGATCGAGGATCATTTTTATCTTTCAGGTACAATTATACTGGAGTAAGTATCTTTCGAGAAGCGAATTAAAAAATGTTTTTGACACTCCACGTCGTTCTTTATTACTACGTGTTTTATCAAAATCTAAGTTACACTCTTATTTTTCACTTTTTAACGTGATCGTCGAAAAAGATCTGCTCCCACGGGTTCTCTATAGCCATTGGATTTGGCAGTTCCTCTCTATTGCGACAATACCAAGGATATCGCTTGCCCCGCGGCGTTTTTGTCGTCCCCCTCATTGTTTATGGTTTCTATGGTTCCTATGGAGATATTCGTGACAAAGATGGTCGGTGAAGAAGCCGAAGAAACCAAAGAACGAGGGGACACGTTTCGATGGTGTTGGTACACGCGTGTATATAGCTATGGGGTTCCTATCGTTTTCTGCTTTTTTATATTTCTCTTTTTATCCCTTCAGTCTCTTAGAACGATTCGAAAGAGGGGAGTTGTGCGTTTGACAACATTCACCCCCATAAGGCCACGAACAATGGGAAACACTTGAGCTCCTTTACTGGCTGGTCCGATTTTAATACAGCCCTAATTACCATAACATTATATTGCGGATAATAAGCCGGTATAGAATTTGTGGTACAAATAGCTTCACATATACTGAATATATTCCATAAAATGACACTATATTTTCGATATTAATATTCCCCGTCCCTCTCGACCCCTTTCAATGATTTTCTCATATATGGAAGGGTGTTTTAACTTTTTTAAATATAGGTATATTTTTCCTAGAAATTTCGATAACTTTATTATTTAAACTTCAATCACACGTGTATTTAAATAACTTCACATAAATTCATTGCATACCAATAATACGGTGTGTACGGGACTGGTTTGCAACTCGACGCAAACCGTATAGTAGGTACCGAAATAATTTCGATATAAACACAAGTGCTGGAGAGCTCTTTCATCCTGAAGCGTTTTGCCTTTATCCAAATGGAGGGCGCAGCTGCATTTAATTGCATCAACCCCACCATGTGTGCACAGTTTGAGTTACGCGAGTTGGAGTTCTTAAAGTCAGTGAGTATTTTCAGCATGCAAATTAAGAATTTAATTTGATCGTTATTACTTGAAGATATTTGTAAAATCCTTATACAGATATATCATATCCGGAAAAGGTACAGACGCAGTTATTTAAAAAAAAATATGTACAGGACAGAGCGATTCAACGGATGCAAAAGTCAAAGCGGTAAAATATCCGTTACCCCCGCTGGAACTCGATCAGACATATAGTAGAACCTGACAGTGACGAGCTCGAATTCGCGTAAGCGTAAGGGTTGATTCGGCGTAACGCCACGTCGAGGGTGGTTTGGCACTGGGGCTCGAAAGGGGTGGAGTCTCGGGCGGCAGAGCACTAAATCCAATAATTAGAGCTCCAGCTGTCACCATGTTGCGAGTCCGCAGTTCGTTCGCCATTCCCCGGGCTAGCCGTGGAGACGCCTTTAATGAAAGGAGTTTATTAGGAAGGGATGGTGCGAACAAAAGGGTTAGAGAAGTTCCTGGATTTGCATCCCTTACGTGTAATTTCTCTCCGATATTGGATTAGCTACACTGTGCCACTCCCTATTACGTTCTTGCCAGTTCGTTGCTTTTTATTTCTTTTTTCTTTTTATATACTATACAGGCGGACGAGACATTCCGACACCTTATCGCTCATTAAATTTATGTACTATGTTGGCTACGTGTCGCCTTTTTTTTTTCTCTAACGCTGATGCGCGACAGCGAACGTAAGTACGTGAAACAGGAAAATAAAACGGCGGAAGGAGGGGACAAGCTACAAGACGGTCGGCAGAAAATATGGGGCTTGGTAAAAATCTGCAGGGACGAGGAAAAAGGAAATATGAGAAGAACGAGAAGTCACGAAATAACGGTCTTCCTGTACTCATTTACTTGGTCGCTCTACCGCGTTACTGGGAAAAATTCCTACTCTGGCTTAATGGACCAGCTCGGTTTGGTTAGGTGCGGTTAGATAGGAGAAAATGAAAGTCAAGAACATAAACTATTTAAATAACCTATGGATGTACTACGTATAAAGTAAGGTCGTATTCATATATGAATTCACATATCTCTCTTCTATTACTCGAGTGACAAAAAGAAAAAACTTTTCTCCGATGTCCATTTTTCTCCCTTTCTTTTAGGGACTCTTCGGATGAAGCATTACCAGGTTCGTTTTAATTTGCCTGTGAAACAGTTAATATATTCACTGGAAATAAAAGACCGTAGGTTAAGGTTTGGTAGGTAAATGGTAGATGGGGTTGAGAAAATGGGGTGGTTTCGAGAGGGTAGGATATTTATACGGAGGTGTGAGAAGGGGGTACACGGTCGGTTCGGAAGCGTGGAATTGCCACGGTGGCGGTTCCCCGGGTCTCTTTGACCCCCTGACGTTTTAACCCCTCGGCAATTAATCCCTCCTGCTCGATTAAACTCCTGTTCCGCGTTTAATTAAAAATTCTCTTTTTTTTTCTCAAAGTCCCGTACCCCTTCGTCCGGCTTTCTTCCGACGAGTCGAGCGTAACCACGCCACAATTGCGCGTTGAGTTAAATGGAAAGGTTGTACGGTTATTCCCTTTTACTTTATTTTCATTTTTTTTTTCTTTTACACCCTTATATTTCTTCCCATCCGTTCGTCCAGCCTGAAGCTGAACGTTATCGTCGCCACGAAACGGCAGATACCCTTTTCTTTTTTCATTCTCCTCACAGCGATACTTTAGCAAGATGGGAACCACGAGTCACCCGGTATAAAGTAACATGATGACAGAGGTCGTGGATCTCGCACCTGCATGACGCTACATTGATTTTTCGCTGAGAAATAACAATCCCACTCGTTACAACAGTCTTGGAAAAGTAGTAAGGAATGGCAGTCGCTATTAAGAAGATTCATTTTACTCGCTGTTTTTACCGATTCTTTCTTCTTGTGCAAGGGGAGGTGAGCACGGGAAGACGTGGTTTGTTTACATTGTGCGTGAGCGTAGACGCTTTTGAAAGGTGCAGTAGCGCTCCGACAAAGGCATGCCGCTTTTGTCCGGCAGCCACTTAAAAATGCTGCCCTATTTAAACCCTTTCAGATGTTCGCGGGGGTGATACTATAATGGTGGGGAGACTTCGGCTCTTTACGGCTCTATTCGCCTTTGTACGGTCCCAGTCGGGTGGTGGCATTCGGCGCTCGGCCAGCTTCGTTGTTTGTCGTGCGCTTGCCTGTACGGAACAGTTTGGATGCTGTGAGTTCAGTCCCACGACTCCATAAGATTCAGCATCAGTCTCGCTTTGGTTAGCGATCGGAGCGGTTCTCTTCGTGAGAGGTTAACGTCAGTGGATATTTGGTTTTTTTTTACTCTAGTCAGACACAGAGTGCGTAAAGTTGTTGGGACAATGATTGTGAATTTTGAATAGACTGGGACTGTCTTTTACAATAATAATTAATAAAAGGATATTTCGTCGTCAAATTTAATGAACTTTAATAAGTATTGAGTCACCCGTCTTCGATTGACGTCTAGACGTCTTCGATTTGAATTTCGTAATTATAAGGGTGATGCTAACGTGAGTTTAATGAATTTGCCAAAGAGAAGCGAGCCCGTTTGATTTAAAAGTGTGACGCAACTCACGAAAATTGTACGGTGATAATTGTCGACTTTCAGTCGCACTAGAAATTTTTTATAATCAGAAAAACCTGCACGCGAGTACGTGGTGCGGAATAGAGGTGTGAAGAGCAAAGAAGGAGAAGATAAAAGAAACGAGGAAAATTGGGCGCCAAGCGAAATGTAATTTTCACCGTGTAAAACATTTTCGCATTCCGCGCGGAGTGTCGGTACGTGCTACGAATATCAAAAGCCGACATGTTCGTGGTGGGTTGGCGACGAGGGATCGTCGCGGACTGAAAACTAGACTGAAGGTGTGCTGTGATGTTCACCGAAGAATGTTGAAAAAGAGAAAAATGGTCGTGATCGCCCTGGCCTGCTTATTCATACCAGTCTATCACGTACTGGCCGTAACATCAGCACCGCCACCGCAGCCGAGAGTGGAACTGCCCCAGCATTGCTCTTGGGATTCTAAACAAGACGGAGCCCTGACCTGTATATTCCGGTTCCTGGTGGGAGAGCCGCAGGATTCAAACGCCTCCCAGGTCCTTGGGGAACGCGTCACAGTCGTGAGTGTTCTATGCGAAGATCAGGAATTGGAACCTAGTGCTTTGAATCCCGAGGGATTTTCCCAGCTTACCAGATTACGAGCACTCAGTCTACTAGGATGCAAACTGTCCAGGTGGCCGGCAAGGACTCTGCAGGGACTTCGGGATTTGAGGAATTTTACAGTCAGGTCTTACAATAGGGATAGAACAAGATTTGGTCTTGAAATAGAAAAGGGTACATTTGACGCAACACCCTTGATCGAAAAAGTTGATTTGTCTACTAATAATATCTGGACCATTCCTGAATATTTGTTTTGCCCATTAACCAATCTCGTCAATCTCAACGTGTCCTGGAATATGATTAAGGATCCGACTGAACTAGGTTTCAGTGATGTTCCTGAAGAAATAACAACTCAAGAAGGGACACTAGCACCCTTTCCGTGCTCCTTGGACATTCAAATCCTCGATCTCTCCTGGAATCAGATCAGTGTGTTGCCAGCCTACGGGTTCTCGTCCTTGAAGCGATTGAGAGTACTGAATCTATCAGGAAATGTGATTTCAATGGTGGCCGATAAGGCAATTCACGCGCTGCGGTCTCTCGAGGTTTTTGATCTCTCAAGTAATAGAGTAGTTGCCCTACCGGCTGAACTCTTTCGCGACTCGAGCAAGTCCTTGAAGGAGTTACGATTAGAGAACAACTCCATTAGTGTCCTATCGCCAGGACTAGTGTCCGGCCTTAACCAGCTTGTCACGCTGGATCTCTCCAGGAATTTGCTGACCAGTGCTTGGCTGAATGCCGCCACGTTCGCCGGACTCATCAGACTAGTTCTTCTCGATCTATCTCACAACAGGATCGCCAGATTGGATACAGCACTTTTCAAGGATCTTTACACACTTCAGATATTGAATCTACAGTACAACGAATTGGAGACTATACCGGCAGATGCATTTTCACCAATGAGTAATCTTCATACTCTAGAGCTATCTCATAATAGACTTACCTATTTGGATGCATATTCTCTAAACGGACTTTTCGCCCTGTCACTGCTGGCTCTGGATTCCAATCTCCTCGAGGGAGTGCATCCTGACGCTTTTCGAAATTGTTCCAGCATGCTGGACCTCAATCTTTCCGAAAATGACCTTGACAGCGTGCCCGTGGCTCTGAAGGATATGAGGATGCTGCGAACAGTAGATTTGGGTGAGAACCGAATCAGAAGTTTGGAGGATCCAGGATTTCGGGGCATGTCGAGTCTCTATGGTCTTCGACTTATTGGGAACGAGTTGGTGAACATTACGAGAACCGCACTCGCCGAGTTGCCTGCACTTCAAATACTCAATCTTGCCAGGAACAAGATTGAGATGGTAGAGAGTGGAGCATTTTCGACGAATCACGCGCTACAGGCGATAAGGCTTGACGCCAATATGCTTCAGGATATCAGCGGCATCTTCGCCAGTGCACCTGGACTATTGTGGCTGAACGTGTCCGATAATCTTATCGATGATTTTCAGTATTATTATTTACCTGAAAAAATTCAATGGTTGGATATACATAAGAATTCCATAACGGATCTTGGTGTGGCTCCAAAAGTATTGCGTCTGCAGAGTTTGGATGTATCTTTTAACAGACTCACGCGTCTTCAGAATAAACTTATACCGGACTCTGTGGAATTACTCTTTGTTAACGATAATATGATACATACTGTGGAACCGCAAACATTTGTTGGTAAAGAAAATCTTACGAGAGTTGATCTCTATGCTAATCAGATAATTGGTATGGAGTTATCGGCTTTACAGTTATCTCAGGTACCTACCGATAAGGCACTACCGGAATTTTATATCGGAGGTAATCCATTTAGTTGCGACTGTACCATGGAGTGGCTGCAGAGGATTAACACACTAGCACTGAGGCAACATCCTAAAGTTATGGATTTGGCGTCGGTCTATTGTCGTTTACCTTACGATAGACATAGAGCATTTGCACCTTTGCTGGAGGCGAAGTCTTCGCAGTTTCTTTGTACTTACAAAGCTCATTGCTTCGCTCTGTGCCATTGCTGTGACTTTGACGCGTGCGATTGCGAGATGACGTGTCCGACAAATTGCACCTGTTACCACGACCAGTCCTGGTCAGCCAACGTGGTAGATTGCTCCCGAGCTGGATACACGAGTCTGCCTGGAAGACTGCCGATGGACGCTACCGAAGTATATCTCGACGGAAATGATTTCGGTGAACTGACTTCTCACGCCTTCATCGGCAGGAAGAATCTCGAAGTTCTTTACGCCAACGACAGCAACATTCTGGCTGTTCATAATCACACGTTCAGCGGGCTGCGGCGTCTCTCCGTATTGCATCTCGAGAATAACAAGATCTCCACGCTGAAGGGTTCCGAGTTCACGGCATTGGAAAGCCTGAAGGAACTCTACCTGCAGAACAACCTTCTAGTGTATATTGACAACGGGACTTTCCTCACTCTGAGGCGCCTTGAGGTTCTGCGTCTAGAGGGCAATCGACTGACTACCTTCGCGGTATGGCAACTTGCCCAGAATCCCTACCTAGTGGACATAGGCCTAGCCGCTAATCCATGGAGCTGCGAATGCTCCTACTTGGCCCGATTCCGCGAGTGGGTGTCCGTTCACCAGGCCAAGGTAGCGGACTTGGCCCGAATATCCTGTGCCCTGGGACCTCCTTTAAGCTTTTCCGGAAATGGCTCGTTAATAAATTGTGCAGCTCTTACCGGAGCTACTGCTGCCGTGGAAACTCGTCCACTTCAAGGTTACATACCGTTACTCCTTGCCACGGTAGCATTATTCTTCACTCTGGTCGGTCTCCTCTGTGGCGCCCTGCGACATCGCCGAGCTCTACGCGTATGGGCAGCAAGCCGTTGTGGTCTGAGGGCCTGCTACAAGACTGCCGCCTTTGAAGATCGTGAGAAGCCCTTTGACGCTTACATCAGTTACTCAGCCGTGGACGAGGGTTTCGTTTCGAGACTCCTGGTTCCTGGACTGGAATCCTCGTATCGTCTGTGTCTCCATTATCGTGATTTGGGCGCTGGTTCCAGTGTTGCTGACGCCGTGGCAGAGGCTGCCGACTCCTCGAGGCGCACCATCCTCGTCTTGTCCAGGAACTTCCTTCACGGCGAGTGGGCGCGTTTCGAGTTCAAAAGTGCTCTAAGGGATGCTCTTAGGGGTAAAGGTCGTGCGGTCATATTACTTCTGGTGGGTGGTGTGGGACCCAGGGATCTCGACGCGGACCTCAGGAAACGCGTGTCCTCGCATACTGTTCTTGTTTGGGGCGACAAGCTCTTCTGGCAGAAGCTCAGATACGCGATGCCTGATGCACCGCCTGTTCCTGTATTAGAAAGGCCACTGCCGCTGCCACCGCCGCCACCTCCACCGCAACATTTATGGGCGTAGAATTGTCCAGGTACATATACTATTATATCATTCCTAGAAAAATATCATGAGACAATTATTATCTTTAGACAAAACACATGTAACAGTCATAGTTACAGAAATGGGAATCTCGTTTCTACTATGATTTGTAATGTAAAGTTCTGGAACAAAGGTACAGTTGGACGATAACTGTATAAATTTTTATGATAATCAATCTCTGTGATATACGAGCTCGTTTTACTACATAGTAAGCATAGCTATAATGAACACTTTTAATAATTAATGATATATTGCCATGCTATACCGTTGAATTGATGGCGATTACCTACGTGCGAAAAGAGTCATTGAAGAATCGAGAGTTAAAAATATTTCACGTAATGGTGACTTGTAGCAATACAAAAAAAAAAGTAGAGGTAATAACGGGTATGCTATATTCGCGGCAACACCAAGGAAATGGCCATTGGTTGATTATAATTGTAAAAGGCGTAAATCATCGGTTTTCAGGGAGATGGACGTTTTTCGAGATTGGG